CATGAATGTTACTGATGTGTTTGAATTTATATCTAGTATCTATTTGCCTTCTTTTACTTTCTCTTTTTGCCTTCTTTTTCATTAATCTTTTTTTTTTTTTTATTAATTTAACTTTTCTCCTCTATTTGCTTGTTAGATACAGATTAAAGCAGTTACCTTAGAGATTAAAACAAGCATCCTTTACTTACATTAATATATCCTACTGCTATTGAGTCAATTCTGACTCATGGCAACCACACAGGAGAGAGTAGAACTGCTCCATAGGGTTTCCAAGGCTGTAAATCTTTATGGAACCACACTGCCTCACTTTTCTTCCACAAAGCAGGTGGTGGGTTTGAACCACAGGCCTTCTGGTTAGCAGCCAAATGCTTAACTACTTTGCCACCAGAGCTCCTTGTTGAAAGTAAGTTAAATTAATTGTCAAATTAATAAATATGAATTGTTTGACCACTTCTAAGCCAATATAAAAATGTCAAGATAAACTTTGCCTTGTTCTCTGAGATTTTAATTCTATATAAATTCTAAAGTGCTAAATGTATTATAACTATTGCTCAGTACAGTTAATTTTCATTACTATTTACTTATATAACTACCTTTTCCCATAATCATGTTTCTTTTTGGGATAATCTTCCATATGCATGAAAAAATTCCTTCAGTATTTCTTTTAGTGTGAATCTGCCTGCAATGAAGTCTCAGGTTTTTTTTTCCTTAAAATATATTTATTTTAATTTTTGAGGGATATTTTCAGGGTACACACAATTGTATTAGGTTGAATCATATGAAATCTTTGCTATTCAAGCAACGTTGATTCAGAGAAATAGAAAATTCCTATTGATTCAACCTATAGGTTTTATTTTCTTTCAGCATTTTTGAGATATCATTCCATTTTTTATAGCTTACAGCATTTCTGCTGAAAAGTGAGCTGTCAGTAATATTATGGATTCTTTAAAGGAAACTGTATTTTTCTATGGAAGCTTTTGTGATTATCTCTTTATCTTTTATTTTCAATAATTTAAATAAGGTGTAGCATGGTCTGGCTTTCTATTATTTTTTTTCTGCTTTTTTCCCTACATAAACCTTTGTTTGTACTTATTTTGCTGAGATTCTTGAACCTGTGGGGTGATATCTTTTATTAATTTTTGAAATTTTCAAATTACAGGTATACCTCTGAATTATTTCAAGTTTGGTTTCAGATCACGACAAAACAGCAAATATTGCAATAAAATGAATCACACAATTTTTTTTTTCCAGTGCATATAAAGGTTACATTTACCTTATACTGTAGTCTATTAAGTGTCCAGTGGCATTCTGATGATGTGTTTGGAGTAAAATATTTGGGACTTTCATTTGCTGATGGGGCATGACACAAAATGGAAGAAACAGTTGTAAACATTAACTAATAATCAGAACATGGAATGTACAAAGTATGAATCAAGAAATTAGAGACTGCATGACAAAATTTTTCAAAATCAACAATTTATTCATTGCAAATATCTTTTTTTCCAACAACATAAACAGTGACTATACACACACACTTCACCAGATAGAACACATAGGAATCAAATTGAGTATATCTGTGGAAAGATGTGATGGAGAAGCTCAACATCATCAGTCAAAACAGTGCCAGGTGCTGACTGTGGAACAGACCATCAATTGCTCATATGAAAGCTCAAGTTCAAGTTGAAGAAATTAAAACAATTCACAAGACCCAAAATATGACCTTAATCATATCTCACCTAAACTTAGAGACCATCTTTTACAGGTTTTCAACTGTAAAATAATTGTTTTGATGCACTGAACACCAATGACAGAAGACTAGACAAGATGTGGAATGACATCAAGAATATCATACATGAAGAAAGCAAAACGTTGTTGAAAAGACAGGAAAGGAAGAAAAGAACAAGACAAAAATCAGAAGAGACTCTCAAACTTTCTCTTGAGTGAAAGTAGCTAAAGCAAAAGGAAGACATGTTGAAATAAAAAAGGTGAACAGAAGAGTTCAAAGGATGGCCTGAGAAGACAATGTAAAATATGACAATGAAATGTGCAAATACCTGTAATTAGAAAACAAAACAGGAAGAACAGTTTTGGAATTTCTCAAGTTGAAAGAACTGAAGAAAAAATGTAAGCCCTGAGTTGCAATATTGAAGGATTCAATGGACAAAATACTGAATGATGCAGGAAGCATCAAAAGAAGATGGAAGGAATACACAGAGTCACTGTACCAAAGAGAAGTGGTTGATGTTCAACCATTTCAGGACGCAGACTATGATCATGAACCGATGATACTGAAGGAAGAAGCCCAAGCTGCATGGAAGGCATTGGTGAAAAACAAGACTCTAGGAATTGATGGAATACCCATTGGGATATTTTGACATATAGATACAGCTCTGGAGGTGCTCATTTACGCCAAGCAATTGGAAGACAGCTACCTGACCAACTGACTGGAATGGGGCAACTGTGCCCATTCCAAAGAAAGGTGATCCAACAGAATAAGCAAATTATTGAACAATACCATTAATATCACATGCAAATAAAAGTTTACTGAAGACAATTCAAAAACAGTTGCAACAGTAGATTGACAGGGAACTTCCAGAAATTCAAGCTGTATTCAGAAGAGGACATGGAATGAAGGAGATCATTTCTGATGTCAGATGGATCTTGGCTGAAAGCAAAGAATACCAGAAAGATGCTTACCTGTGTTTTACTGACTATGGATCATAACAAATTATGGATAACACTGCAAAGAATGGGAATTCCAGAACATTTAACTGTGCTCATGAGGAATACATACATAGACCAAGAGGCTGTCATTTGGACAGAATAAGGGGATACTGCACAGTGTCATATCAGAAAGGGTGTCTATCTGGGTTGTATCTTTTCACCATATATATTCAATCTGTATGCTAAACAACTAATCCGAGAAGCTGGACTATCTGAAGAAGAACATGGCATCAGGATTGGAAGAAGACTTATTAACAACCTGTGATATGCAGATGGTACAACCCCGCTTGCTGAAAGTGAAGATGACTTGAAGCACTTACTGATGAAGATCAGAGACTGTAGCCTTCAGTATGGATTAGACCACAACATAAAGAAAACAAAATCCTCACAACTGGACCAATAAGCTACATCATGATAAATGGAGAAAAGACTGAATTTGTCAAAGATAACATTTTACTTGGATCCACAATCAACACCCACTGAAGCAGCAATCAAGAAATTAGATGCCATATCACACTGGGCAAATATACAGCAAAAAACTTCTTTAATGTGTTAAAGAACAAGCATGTCACTTTAAAGACTGAGGTGCAGCTGCCCCAAGCCATGGTATTTTCAATAGTCTCATACGCATGTGAAAGCTTGACAATGAATAACAAAACAGAATCATTAACTGAACTCTTTGAATCATGGTGTTGGTGAAGACCAATGAAAATACCACGGATGCCAGAAAAATGAACAAATATGTCCTGGAAGAAGTATAGCTGGAATACTTCTTAGAAGGAAGAATGGCCAGACTTTATCTCATCTACTTTGTTCATGTGGTCAAAAGGTACCAGTCTCTGGAGAAGGCTATCATGTTTGGTAAAGTAGGGAGTCAGTGAAAAAGGGGAAGACTCTCAGTGAAATGGACTGATACGGTGGCTATAATGATGGGGTCAAGCATAGCAAGTATTGTGACAATGGCGCAGGACCAGGCAGCATTTCGTTGTGTTGTATGTAGGCATCTAACAGCAATAGCAGTAAGAAAATTTGAAATATTGTGAGAATTACCAAAATAAGATACTATGACACAATGAGCAAATGCTGTTGGAAAAATGATGCTGATGGACTTGCTCGACGTGGGGTTGTCACAAACCTTCAAGTTGTTAACAAATGTAGCATCTGTGATGAGCAGTAGAGGGAAGCAGGATGAAATGATGCATACCTGTAGTTCTTCGTCAAATATTCACCCTACCTCAGTTTCTCTTCTTTCCTTCTTGTACTCCAATTATATTTTACATTAATGTTTTTACTATGTTCCACTTATTATTTATGAATATATGTGTTTCTTTTGCAGTAGTTTCAAACTACAGAGTTAGTTCTCCATGGTTATGGTTTTCACCTATAAAATCCCAGTGGCAGGTAGAAACTCTGTTGTGAAAATAATTACTTTAAATATCAGCTATTCATTCTTCCAAAAATGATTTTTTTGTGTGTATTATGTGACATTGTTTTAGGTCCTGAGAATAAGCGTGAACAAAACAGACATAATTCCTATTTTTATGGACCTGGGTCTAGTTGTGCTAAGTCACCTTTTCATTATATTTAGCTCTTGTGTAGCTTGCCTAAAAGAGAGACAACAGAACATTTGATTGAATGGTTGGTTTCTTGGCCATTCTATTTCTTATAAATTAACTGGCCTTCTTATTTATATACACCACTCTTTTGCAAACTTTCTTTGTGTGATGCAATTACTCCAAGTTATCTATGAGACACTGACTGTTAAATCTCTGCCCTAAGAGAACGAAGTCTAGATCAAGATCTTAGCAGAAAAGGCTATTTTGTAAATACTTTTGACCATTCACCAGTTGGTCTTACCTTGTGGAACCATGAACACTCTGGGAACTTTCCTTTTGAACTTTTATTCAATGCAGGAAACAAACCAGGTACAAATCACATAGATTATAGAAACATAATAAGTCTGTATTTTAAAGTCGTTCATAGTATGGAGTCCAAATTAGAACTAGAACATTTCCTGTGATGACAGAGATGTTAATTTTCCTTTGTCTAGGTTACCTCTTGTTCCCACTATTACAAAAAGACACATGCATCTAGTGCAAGCTCAAAATTCTTACACATTTCTCTGTTGAATATATGGTGATACATAAGTATAAAATATTAACATAACTATAAACCTAGTAATGTTGCCATTACTTCAGCTGTAAACTGAGTGGGGTTGCTCCCAAACTGATGTAGGATTTTACAGATCTTAGTGTTTCTTTCTGGTCATTACTCACTTAAGGAAGACTTCTTCCATGGTAGTGATTGACGCACCAAAGCTGGCAATGCCCAGTTCTTCCTGTTTGTTATCTAGATCATTAAACAGAGCTACAAACCTAGGAAAGAAGGAAGAAGAAAAAAGAGACCCCACTAGCACTGATGAATTTTCACTGTTGTTTTGTTCCAAAATAATTTCTTGCTAGTAGTGGAGAAAAACATTTGGTAGATGGATCTTCACTGTAATGTTTATTGAGAAACAAATGAAAAGAAGGATTTACTTTAGCAAATTTCTCCCCAGTGTCACTTGATACTTGATTATAAATTATTTTATTATTCTAATAAAATTATGGATTATCTATATATGTTAAGGACCATAGCTAGTCGATAAGAGTTAATTTATTCACATACGGTTCCTCTATCAAAGGGGAAAACAATTCTCAAATTACAGAAAAAAGATACTACTCAATAATATAAAATGAAATTAATGAAACAGAAGTTGGGCACTGAGAGAAATATTTAACCCAATAGTCAGGGGGTTGTATGTGAGTTTAGCTAATTGTCTTACAGTTACAAGGGTTCTAAAAAACGATTGTTCTGTTAAAGATTATTGTATTTATATGTTCATTGGTGTGTAGTTTTCTTTTGTTAGAGTATGTGGGAGTGATTTTGGGATTAGTTGATATGAGTTGGGAAGTGTTCTCTTAAATTTTCTAGAGAAATTTTTATAGAATTGGAATTATTTCTTCAATTATCTGATAGAATTCTTCATTAAAGCCATCTACCCTCAGAGATTTCTTTGTGAGTTTTTTTTTTTAAATTTTTATTGGGATTTGAGTGATAGTTTACAGAACAAATTCATTTTCCATACAGCACTTTACATACATTTTGTCTCATGACATTAATTTCAATTTCCCACAGCGCAACAGCTCTCTTCCCACTTCCTCCCCATAGTTACCTCTTCCCTGTGTCCTCTCCCATGTACTCCTGCCCCCTGAGCTGTATCCCTGTGCAAACACTGCCCTTCTGTTCTCCCATGATTGATCACTCGAACTAGTCTATCTACCTGATATAAATGTTCAGCCCATATG